ACCCGACTTTCCACTTGATAGCATATAAACACTGCACGTTTAAAATGCTATGTTTATATGCTATATGCTATTAATGTGTTTTCTCATTACTTTTGAAGAAAATATCATAGATGTATTAATGAAAATGTCTATATTAACCTAAAATAGGACATTTAAAAGTCCCTGCTTACTGCTACACTCCCTGCATGCCTGCTACACTCCCTGCCTTCCTGCTACACTCCCTGCAAAGTCTGCTACACTCATTACCTCTATGCCTGCCTGCTACACTCACTGCCTGCCTGCTACACTCACTGCCTGCCTGCTACACTTCCTGCCTTCCTGCTACACTCCCTGCATGCCTGCTGCACTCCTTGCCACTATGCCTGCCTGCCTTGAATTCTATCATGTTTCTCACTTTCTTTACCAAAGGAACTTTACTAGCAACTTTCTTTGGAGCCATGGTTACTTATTTTGCAGTTGCACTTAATCAATAACCACCAAAAACAAAAGATTATATTGAAATGTTTGGATGAATGAGCAGAAGCTTCCTCACTCGCCCAGACACAGCCACACTGACTCAGGAACACGCGAGCGGCTGGCAGTGGATGCGTCCAACACAGCTGATAAGCGAAATAACGGCCGATAACCGGAAGCCAAAAAAACCAGCCAATAACTGAGTTGGCCGATAAGCAGAACGGCCAATAACCGAGGGTCCACTGTACATGTATTGACATTAACCCTTTCAAGGTTTCCAACGTACTAGTACGGCTTACGCGCCAGGGTTATTGACGTGCTAGTATGCATAAATTCTAGCGCCTTCAAATCAAGTGGGAAAAGGCTGGTAGGCCTAGATGTGAGAGAATGGGTGTGCGTGGTCAGTGTGCGCAGTAGGAAAAATTCTGGGACCCAGTGGTGCATTGTGGGAATGCCATTTTAGTACACCTTGTTCACCATGCCTCGCAGTAAGAAACTCCTCACTCCTCGGCGAACTGGGACACTTTTGTTCCCCAGTGTCAGTTCTAATACAGATGGAAGTGCCAGTGAAGACGAGTTTCAAGGTTTTGATGAGGTTGTGACCAAAACTAATGACCATAATACCGGTAATAGTGAGGAAAACCCAGATGACCCTCAGCCTTCCACCTCTGATGCTGGGCCGTCTTGTTCACGTTCAGTTGTACCAGAACGAAAGAGGAAACTCCTATTTTCCCATATCCCGGACTCAGATGTGAGCATTGGTGATGATAGTGATAGTGAATGTGAATTACAAGCTCTTGAAAACAGATCCAGTAGTGATAGAAAAGTGGAATATTCTCCAGTGAAGTGTCAGTATATACGACAATATATGTGCTCTGGTAGTGTGCCATATGCTATTCCAAGGTGAAGGAGTACATCTCGGGGTACATCCCGTGGCTGTACAACAGGAACAGATAGTGAAAATGAAGATGATACTGTTGCAATTGGGATGGAAAATGTGCATGGTGGTGGTAGTGGTGGTGCCAGCCATGAGGCACCAGCAGTGGGCCATGCTGCCACCCACGCAGCTGCCTCAGCTGATCTACAACAAAGCCACCATCCCCCACCCACCCACCACATCAGCCTCCACAACCACAACCTCCACAACCACAAACTCCACAACCACAACCACCTGTCAATATCCACTACCCACCATTAGACTGCACCTGGGATTGGCAGGAAGCTGACAATTTTGTTCCCAATCCTCATCACTTTGATGAAAGTCAAAGTGGAATACAGCCATTTTGTACACTTGGGAACAATGCCACTGAACTGGAATGTTTCGAGTTATTCTTTGATGAACCCCTGATGGAAATTATTGTCAGGGAAAGCAACAGATACTTCGAGTACACCATGGCAAACACAATACAGTGGATCCTAGTTAATCGTAAGGCTCAAAAGTCATAATTTTCAGAAATACTAACTTTTTTTGTCAAAACACTGACTCGCAAATTGTCGTTTGACTCGCAAATAGTTGTTTGTCGTGGACGCGTACTCATGGCCCCGAGCTGCCTCGCACTCCCTTCCCAGCCAGTGTGGCATTGTTTACCAGTGAGTGACGGTCCCCTCACTTGTTCATACAAAATATTTCATAATATTCCATTCATTTTAGTGCTTGCAAGTGCTAAATAAGCTACCATGGCTCCAAAGAAAGCTCCTAGTGCCATGTCTTTGGTAAAGAAGGTGAGAAATACAATTGAATTCAAGAAAAACCTCATTGAAAATATGAAGGTGGTGTACGTGTGGCCGAACTGGCCAGAATGTATAAGAAACCCCATACAAGCATAGTTTCCATCGTGGCCAAGAAAAAGGAAATCAAGGAAGCTGTTGTTGCAAAGGGGGTAAATATGCTGACAAAAATGAGATCGCCAATACTTGAAGATGCTGAGAAGTTATTGTTGGTGTGGATCAACGAGAAACAATTAGCAGGAGATAGTCTTATTCTAGGCAGATGCATGACGATCTCAAAGAAATTGCCTGCAACAAGTACTGATACATGTATTTGTGAATTTAAGGCCAGCAAAGGCTGGTTTGAGAGATTTAAGAACTGTAGTGGCATACACAGTGTGATAAGGCATGGCGAGGCTGCCAGTTCAGACAAAATTGCAGCTACAAAATTCATAAGTGAATTCAAGGAGTACATACAGACTGAACAATTAAAACCACAAGTGTTCATTTGTGACGAAACAGTCCTCTTTTGGAAGAAAATGCCAAAGAGGACCTACATTACTCAGGAGGAAAAGGGACTGCCAGGACACAAGCCTATGAAAGACAGGCCGACGCTCATGTTTTGAAGTAATGCTACTGGGGATTTCAAAGTGAAGCCGTTACTAGTGTACCATTCTGAAAATCCCAGAGTGTTCAGGAAAAACAATGTTATGAAGAGTAAATTGTGTGTGTTTTGGAAACCTAATAATAAGGCATGGGTTACGAGGGAAATTTTCGCCGAGTGGTTCAATGAAGTGTTTGGCCCCAGTGTGAAGAATTACCTCCTGGAAAATAATTTTGGTCTCAAGTGCCTCCTGCTAATGGACAATGCACCTGCTCATCCTCCAAACTTGGATGACCTAATTCTGGAGGAGTATGGGTTCATCACAGTAAAGTTCTTGCCCCCTAATACCACTCCTCTCCTCTAGCCTATGGACCAGCAGATCATTTCAAACTTTAAAAACCTCTACACCAAAGCAATGTTTCAAAGGTGCTTTAATGTGACCTCAGACACTCACTTGACCCTAAGAGAATTTTGGGAAGATCACTTCAGTATCCTCCACTGCATAAGCCTTATAGGTAAGGCTTGGGAGGGAGTGACTACCAGGACTTTGAACTCTGCTTGGAGAAAACTGTGGCCAGATTGTGTCCACAAGAGGGATTTTGAAGGGTTTGGGGCTGACCCTGATGAGCCTATGGCAGTTGTGGAATCTATTGTGGCACTGGGGAATTCCATGGGGTTGGATGTGAGTTTGGAGGATGTGGAAGAGTTGGTGGAGGACCACAACGAAGAGCTCACCACTGAGGAGCTGCAGAAGCTTCAGCTGGAACAGCAACAGACTGCAGCTCAGAATATTGCTGCAGAGGAGGAGTAAGAGAGATGGAAGTTGTTGTTTTCTTCAGAAATTAAGATTTTTGAAATGTGGGGTAGGATGGAAAGATTTACGGAGAAACATCACCCTGACAAGGCTGCTGCAAGCCATATAGGCAACTTGTACAGTGACAAAGTCTTGGCCCATTTTAGGGAAGTTTTAACCCTTTCAGGGTCGACAGGCCCTCTCCTAAACTTGCTCTCAGGATCGGAAATTTTTCGAAAAAAAAAAAAATTATTTTTCTTATGAAATGATAGAGAATCTTTTCCTGATCATGACACCAAAAGTATGAAATTTGATGGAAAACTTAGGTAATTATGCTCTCGCGAAGTTAGCGGTCTCGATGATGTTTACACATCAGCAATTTCTCCCACACTGAGCCCTATTTTCAGCCAATTCCAATGTATCAGCTGACAAAAATCATAACTATTTCACTAGAATTCCATTTTTTCTATCGAATGAGTACAAGAAACTGCCCATTTACCAATTTTAACTATCCAATAAAGTGGTCAGAAATTGGAAATTTTGCCAATTTCTACAAATTTCAAAAGATGCCAATTTCCAAATAGGGTCCAGAATAAACAAGACAGACATTCTTGGCACTAAAATAACATTTCCTCTGCTCATTAGTCACGTTCCCAGGCATCTGTTACATTTCTTTTGCTTTCCACTTTGAATTTTTATTCTCACAACAAACAGAAGATTAACTGTTATGCATACTACTGCATTAGGGTAGAAATGGTGTAGAAATGGTATAAATAATATCAGCGCACTTGTGAAAGAATATTAGACTCACCAGTTGATGTGTATTGGACGCATGGCATGATTTGTTTATTTCTGAACTTTGGCAAAAATCGAACATTTCTGCTACTCTATTACTTTATGTAATAGAGAAAAAAAATTGTGTTTAAATATGTATTATACAAGACTACACAACTTCACTGTTTGGAGTAAGAAACGCTACCAATGTTCGTATTGTGCTAATCTAGTCCATAGCAGGAGTCCAATATCAGTGTTTAATGAAGTTAAATAAAGTTATTATTATTAAATTTATAAACCTTATTATATCAAAAACCCGTACTGTTCAAAACCGTACTATGCAAGCTATTACTGTACAGGAGGTAAAGCACATAGTGCACCTCAGAAAACACATTCTACATGTTCGATAAATAAAAGCCTTTATTACTGCCACTTTTATTTTCTTTTATGGTTCCAAACTTAAGGGAGAAACTAAACACTGTGCTGAAGATGAAACCCCACCAACATAATTTTGCTCCTATAACTAAACAGTAAGTATTTATACAAACATATAAACACAGTGAAAGATGGGGAGAGGAAGGGAAAGGCACATTAGTTTCTAAAATACAGTACTTATCTTCATCAATGCATAACAAAAACAAACAAGAGACAATATATTCATATTCTGACCAGATCATGTTGGAAGGAAATGCTGGGTGTAGGAAGCTTTCATGATGACCCACACTCCTGCTGCACTTTGCCTGCAACACGCTCGACCCACACTCTTGGTGCACCTCGTCTGCAATACACTCAGCCACCACTTCTGCTGCGCCTCGTATGCAACACACTTAGTCACCACTCCTGCACAAATACACATATACTAATGTTATCAACATATTAAAATACCTTAAGAATTGGCATAGAAAAAAGTGAAGATCCCATCAAATTATGTTCTTCATTTCCTGGAATAATGTGATAATATGTATTATTTTTAAGAAATGACATTAAGAAATTTATTGTAATTATAAAATTTTCTCACTATATATAAACAAATTAATTCATTACCAAATCTTCACTAAAAATTTGATAGAATTACCAGTTAATGTGATACAAACATATGATTACCCTTGTAATCACTTGTTCTGGAAGGACATGAACTTGACCTCAACAATTAGGTAAGGGGTTTGTAAGTACAGTGGTACCTTGACTTACGAGTTTAATTCGTTCCGTGACCAAGCTCATAACTCAATTTGCTTGTATAACAAATCAATTTTCCTCGTTGAAATTAATTGAAATGCCATTAATTTGTTCCAGTGGAATTCCTGGCTCTGAGGAGGCAGGAGAAAATACTTCAATATGACACTAATATCAACTCTACGGCTTATTTATCTATCATAACTGATCTAATATGACATAATAAACAATAAAAATAACAAAGAAACATGATATTAACTCTAAATGAATAAAGAATGTCAATTTTACGAAGGCCCCCTTATAAACGGCCAGCTAGTTTTCCCAGCTCACCACCATAAAGTGGAACACCCCTTTTTATCCACTTATAAATTTTTTCATAAATTACGTACTAGATAACCAGTTTACAAACTAACATATATTAAGCTAGCAATAGAACTAGACATTAAAAACAATAAAAAAGTAAAATACACATATAGTACAGTGGAACCTCGACTTATGAACTTAATCCATTCCTTGACCTTGTTCATATCCTGATTTGTTCATATAGTGAGTCAATCTTCCTCATTTAAATTAACTGAAAAGCCATCAATCCATTCCGGTGGAATTCCTGCTCTCAGAGGCAGGAAAAATACCAGTCAATACATGTATTAACTTTACGGCTTTTTACCTATTACAACTGATCTAATATGACGTAGTAAACCAAATAAATAACACAGAAACCTGATATACACTCTAGAATGAATAATATATGTCATTATTTGACAAGTGGGAGGCGGGCCATAACCATTTCGCATTGTTGTGGAATTCACTGCCATCTAGTGATGGCCTTTCAAAGCCATGTATTATTATTCATGTTCATATTCATATTCATATAGTTTATTTGGACATGATACATAGTTGTACAAGGATTTATAGTACTAGTTGGGTATACATGCCAAAAGCCCCTTGTATGCAAAGCATTAGGCCGGCTTAAATTAACCATAAAATTGAAAAAAACAATGCAACCAGTACAATAATCAAAACAATAGTACTACATATTATTATACTAATATTATATACACGAATTATTATATTATATAATCTTATTATTATTATTATTATTATTAATTATTATAATGGAAGCCACTTAGGAGGGGTGATGGAAGGAATCAGGCATAATTAGGGAACGGAAACACAGATCCAATCCCCCAAGATCAAGACCCCTCACCACATACATACCAATAAAAATAATGATAATAATAATAATAACAATAATTATTATTATACTAATAATATACAATATAATAATAACGTAATAATAATAATAAAAATAAAAATAATACTTAATAATATTAAAAATAAAAATTATAATAAATGAGAACTTCAAAAGGCTGCCAGTAGTTAGGAGCGCAGACCATCTGCAAAACACGGTAACCACTACATTCACCTGTCTAGACTTAAGTCAATGTATAAGTACAGTTAAGGGTCTGTCCGAAATGCCTCAGCATGATAGTAGCTTTCTTTGCTCCAATCATATTATAATATGTAAACACACATTGTAACCTTTGCAAAGAAATAAATATTTTATTTATTCATTCATTTAAGGAACCTTCCTTGAGAGGGAAGTATGCATCCTGAAATTTCGTTCGTATCCAGAAGCAAACAATTGACTGAACAACGGTTCGTATCCTGAAACGTTCACATGGTGGGGCGTTTGTAAGCCAAGGTTCCACTGTAAACTCATTACTTACCTTAAAATATTTGTAGTCTTAATCTAGGGTGAGATGAGTATGTACTAGTATTTATTGTAAGAAATCAAGTCTGGTATGTATTGTAGCCAGCCAGGCTACCATACCAGGCCACCCCACCCACACATAATATTCTTTGACAGTTAAGCGTCCCCGAGTGATAAAATGCACATACAGTTCACTCATTACTGACCTTAAAATATTTGTAGCCTTAATGTAGGATCAGAAAGACGTAGAATTAGGGAGGATATGATTGAGGTGTATAAATGGAAGACAGGAATAAATAAAGGGGATGTAAATAGTGTGCTGAAAATATCTAGCCTAGACAGGACTCGCAGCAATGGTTTTAAGTTGGAAAAATTCAGATTCAGGAAGGATATAGGAAAGTACTGGTTTGGTAATAGAGTTGTGGATGAGTGGAACAAACTCCCAAGTACCGTTATAGAGGCCAGAACGTTGTGTAGCTTTAAAAATAGGTTGGATAAATACATGAGTAGATGTGGGTGGGTGTGAGTTAGACCTGATAGCTTGTGCTACCAGGTCGGTTGCCGTGTTCCTCCCTTAAGTCAATGTGACCTGACCTGACTAGGTTGGGTGCATTGGCTTAAGCCAGTAGGAGACTTGGACCTGCCTCGCATGGGCCAGTAGGCCTTCTGCAGTGTTCCTTCGTTCTTATGTTCTTATGTTCTAACCAGGCAAACATGTCTGGTTTGTGCACAAGTTACGTTCTGTATTAGTTGTCTCTACATTGATATGGTAGAATAAATAAAGAGGAACACTCCCATTCTCATGTAACACCATTTTTTGAAGAAATGACGCTCTAAGTGAAGGCATATGAAAGGAATAATTTTCTAGTTACCCCCAGTACCACATTTTCTCTTATGTTGGACTACAGAAAACTTTATTCTTGCTGTTACTCATACAAGTCGTCTGGCTACCACATCTCAAATTTATGTTTATTTATTCTACTGTGGGGTGTATTTATAGTCTTTATATGTTACATATCATGTTTATTATATAATTTTGAAAAAATATCATAGATGGATTAATGAAAATGTGTATATTAATGTAATATACGACATTTAATGAGACTCAGTCATTATTATTATTATTATCATTACTAATATGGCATCTTGAGACATAAGACACTCTTAGTGATTTTAATGTGTACCTGCACGCCAGCACATTGTGTAAGTTTATTTAGGTACAGGTATACGTAAGTATAATTATCAGAGTATATATAAAATGTGAAATAATTTTTAAAAACACTTGAAATTTTGGAGTTTCCAGACATAATGGAGAGACATGGTGCTTACGGGGCTCACGGAAAATGTAAACAAACCGGGTAGGGCGCGGTGACCGTATTAGACAGTCAGGTGGGGGGAGCCGTATAGCGAGTTTTGGTTATAATTTTAAATGTCAGTACAGTGGACCCCAGACATTCAATGGCATCGACATTCGATAAGTCCGACATTCGATGCATTTTAACGCAAAAATTTCGCCTCGACATTCAATGGAAAGCCCGACATTCGATACGATTCGTACGAGACGTGTCCACATGTGGCCTGAACTGCCCCGTGTGTGCCAGTGTTTACAAGCCAGCCAGTGTGCGCGCATCTAAGCATACATTTGGTACATTCCATATTATCACTGTTTTTGGTGCTTGTTTCTGCAAAATAAGTAACCATGGGCCCCAAGAAAGCTTCTAGTGCCAAGCCTTCAAGAAAAAAGGTGCTAATGACTATTGAAATGAAGAAAGAGATAATTGCAAAGTACGAAAGTGGACTGCGTGTGTTGGAGCTGGCCAGGTTGTATAGTAAACCCCAATCAACCATCTCTACTATAGTGAGCAGGAAAACGGCAATCAAGGAAGCTGTTGTTGCAAAAGGTGCAACTTTGTTTTCGAAACAGAGATCGCTAGTGTTAGAAGATGTTGAGAGACGGTTATTGGTGTGGATAAATGAAAAACAGATAGCAGGAGATAGCATCTCTCAAGCGATCATTCGTGAAAAGGCTAGGCAGTTGCATGAAGATTTGGTAAAGAAATTGCCTGCAACTAGTAGTGATGTGAGTGAATTTAAGGCCAGCAAAGGTTGGTTTGAAAGATTTAAGAATCATAGTGGCATACACAGTGTGGTAAGGCATGGTGAGGCTGCCAGTTCAGACCACAAAGCGGCTGAAAAATTTGTGCATGAATTCAAGGAGTACATAGAGGCTGAAGGATTGAAACCTGAACAAGTGTTTAATTGTGACGAAACAGGCCTGTTTTGTAAGAAATTGCCAAGCAGGACCTACATTACTCAGGAGGAAAAGGCACTCCCAGGCAGGGCCGGATTACCGCATAGGCAAACTAGGCATTTGCCTAGGGTCCCGCGCATTTGGGGGCCCCGCGGTCCAAGGGGTTCAGGGGCTCATCCAAGACTGCGCACATGGTGCAAGTGCAAAGGGGTCCCTACCTAAAAAGTTCAAGTGTTTGGAGAGTAAAATTGATTTTTAAAAATTAATCAAAACAAAAATAAATAATGAAATAAAATAAAATAAAAATAAGATAAACCTAACCATAGATGGCAACAACTCAACACGCTTTGTTTACATCAGAACAGCTGTGTTTTCCTGCTAATGGGTGAGTATGGGAGATTCCTCTCCAATTTTCTGTATTTAATTAAAAGTTATCTAGACTTGTACTGTGACAATTACTGAAGTGTTGTTGATAGACATTGATGTGTATGGATAAATGTTTGTTTTCGCCTCTAAATGTTAAGGGAGGTACCTGATAGGGTTACTTGACCAGTAAAGTCGCATGGACCAGTAAAGACGCATTTTCGGTAAAAATACTATAAGAAAAACCTAAAAAGCAAACTGACTTCCGGGTTGTAGGTTTAAAAGCACTTTGTCCTGTCTTTAAGTCTTTATCATTTCAATAACAAATCTCAATTGATT